TCATGTCAAATTTTATATGAATCTAACAAAAACTCATTTTTTGAAAAATTGTAAAAATGGGCCCTTTTAATTGAAAACACTCCATATGACTTCAAATCATATTTTGTGTAATAGATTGTCGATAATTTGCCAACTGTGCACAAAATATAATTGAAAGCCAGATTGTAGGTTTTCCTTTGACGACACTCATATAATGGTAAAGTAATATGACTCTGAAATTGACTTTTGACTCAAAATAACACACATGCGCGTAAAATAATGCGCAGGTGTTCAAAATAACGTGCAGGTGTGTGTTATTTCATGGGTTTATGGTACCCCTCTTCTTATGTCAACACCGAACTAACCCTAATCCTAACCTTAATTTTAATTTAAACGATTAAAATGTCAAAATCACGTGGGTACATGGCTTTAGCCATCCCTTTTATTTGGCACGTGATAAGATTAAACTGTAATCCTACAACTCTAGTATGATCGTTTCACATGACAAAATAAAGCTTTAAATCTAATTCACCAGTTTTGGCCCCAGAGGGCCCAAATTGGTGCATTAACTTCAGGGCGGAACATCTAATAGTGGAAAAAGCTTAAGAAAAATCTTCTTTCTGAAATAAAAGTAAGAATAAAACAAACAAATCTATTTAGTGATGGGACTGCCGAGTTTTTAGTTAATAATAAAACAATTGTTAATTAGTTAATAATAGTTAATAATTTCGGTAATTGTTAAAAATGATTATGCAAGCATTTTAATAACTGCATATTTTGTAATTGTTTGGGTCAAAATCCCGACAAATCATCCTGACAAACAATTCTAACGACTAAATTCCCGGAAAAATTAACCAGAATTTAGCTAATGCTAACCTAATTTTGTCAAGTTCTATTTCTCGAAATTTGACCGGCTTTCGTTTTAATTGTTTACAAAAAAATAATAAACGTTAGTAATATAACACCCAGGTTTGTTAAAAAATTTTTGCATTGCTAGTATTCAAATGTCGCCTCAAAGTAAATTTGGAAGGAAAACCCCCGATTTGACAATGGTTTATCGAAGGTAATACTAAAATACTAAATAGCTGCGCCATACATTATTAAGTAGTTTTTAGTTAATAATTCGTGCTTTTAGTTAATAATTATTATTAATTATTAATAATGCGGGAGGTCCTATCACTAAATCTATTATCTTTAGCATATTATAGCCGGCGAAACCGTCCGCATGATCATGTTCTAGTTAATAAAAAAAAAAAGGGATGATAATAAATACGTATTAATTAACAAAATTAATAAATTAATAATGTCAATTTTCATTTGGTTAACCTTTTACTATTACAGTCAACCTAAATGCAACCCCAAATGCATGCTTGTCGGCAGTGCATTTAGGAAATTTTAATACAGCAGATGATTGTAAACTTCAAAATTTTCTTTACATAACCCGTTACGCAAATTTAATTAAATTTAATTAATTTGAGGAAACGAAAATATGCATGCATGTATATATGATAATGTATACGTATACAATACGTACCATTTTTTTCAAATTAATTTTATTCATTTGCTAATCTTACTAATCTAAAAAGAGACGAAAATATTTAAATATGATAATATTTTGTTTAAATTAATTTTACACAACCTTTATTAATCTGAGAAGACAAAAAGATTATACGTCTTTAAAAATGCAAACATACTTATCAGTGTTTAAAATGTACTCAAGTTTCTTTGAATTGTGATTATTATAAATATCATTCATTTTTCCCTTTAATCAAAAAATTCTGACGCGCCAAATTATATCTAAGGTGTGTATAATTTTTGGTTACTTTTACCAATTTTTTTATTAACATTTTATTTTTCTCAATAATTTTTTTAGATGAAGCTCACTTTTTTACTGCGATTATTCGTTCTCGGATTTTTTTTCGGAGGTCGTTTTAACATCTTCATTAGTCACCAGACAAAATGAACTAAAGAAATGTGAAAAATTTGTATAGATTGTGTGTTCAATTACTATCAAACCCCCCCAATATAACCAATAAGGACTTTGAAGCAATAAGTACTGAATGCGGTAAATTTGAACCTGCTAATTGTACACTGAACGATGTGGATTATTCTACTCCTCTTACTTCTCTTACTTGTAAAGATATCGATACTTTTTCTTTCGGCAACTCTGGATGCATTTTAGAAGATAAATTAATGTCTAATGCATTTAATTGTTCTTATGAGATTGGTGGTCAAGACAAATGTGGATTTACCTGCAACAGTTGTACTTATCATACTTCTAACCAAACTCTGAGTTGTGACAACTGCTCTTTTGAATAATAACAATCCTTCTATCGACCCTGCATATCTTTCAAGTAATGAAGAAATGAGTAATGCATTTTCTTGTACTTATGGTCAAAACAAATGTGGATTTACCTGCGACTATAGTTGTATAAGTTGCTATAGGTAAAAACTGTGGTATATGGATATTAAACCCGGTTTAAACTATTGGCTATATTTAAACATTTTTTAATCAATTCTATAATACATAATCTATTCATTCTAGCGGATTGGCGAAATTAGACTTTTAATTTATATATGATAATTAAACACTTATTTTAGTAGTTCGCAGGCTAAGTATTACCTGCGAACTACTAAAATAAATTC